AAAGTTTACCTTTGCAGTAGTGATGGTGGTTTTACCCCTAACTACGATCCTTCTAAAAACCAATATGGCTGCTTGGAAGATTCTTATTATCTTGTTCACCGAATGAAAGTTTTAGTAAGTATGGTATATAGTATTGCGTGTAGAAAATTTATAAGGAAAGATCCAAACGGKGAGAYAAGGGTGGTAGACACCCCCTTTTRTCGTAGTCAGGAATAATGAAATAGAAATAATAATATAAATGAATGGAATAAGAAATGAAATTTCAATGGGACTCATTAAAAAAAATGTAAATGTAAAAAATTCATTTTGTGCAGCCCTAAATCTACCTATCAATACTTTTTCTTGAGTTGCCCAACATCTTTTCTATTATTCTGTATCCACCAATGAATCCTCGTATTGAAAATCTGGTTGAAATGTTTCTTTGTTACAAARCGTTTTTCACATAAGAAGCAGTTTTTAAATCAATGACACATATCTTGAATTGCCTTTCAGGACAGACAGTCTCCCAGCTCAGTGTCTGCTAAGATTGGTAAAGTAGCTTTTAAAGCCAAATTCGCTTCTGAYGAWTCTGAAGCAAATCAACTGGAACAKCAAGCAGACTCGGATGGTTTTGTCATCAATTCTGCTCCACTTTTTGAGGTACGATACAACCATACATGACATTATGATTGCATTCTRGATTTTAGAATGGCTTATTTGATCTCTCGAAAAGATGTAATCTAATGGTCTTGTTCGAAACAAAAAAAGTGTGTCATTTTTTTAAGAACGACAGAGCCGATAAGAGAAATGGTTCCGCGAGAGGTATAGACSTACCCGTTTTTTAGTTCGAAGTGATTGACATGTTCTATTTTTAGGTCCCACGTGCTCAGAAATGGTTTATTCACACTGTATACTCAGTMRGTTCGGATGTACGGAAAACGAAGAGAAATTCCCGAAYAGCAGATCAGCAACTTAATTCCCARACCTCRCATCMTTCMARCARCTACTTCCATTCTTCTATTGACGTCCTCGGTCAGCAGTCAGGACTAAAGAGTATGCGCACTCGTAGAGATGATAAGAAGACGCATTCGCTTAGCGATGGTACTGGGACCAACATGAAAATGATCCGTTTGATTTATGATTTTGAAAGCAATGAACATCAGAAAGAAGGAAAAGACAGCAAAAACGGATCCCAAACTAGCCAGAGTAGTAACRCTAACCTTATTAACCCTTTAGTGATAGGTATAAGTGTTTTTTGTGCTATTTTACTCACCGCTTTGATTGTTGTGTGGATTTTATACAAACGAAAAGGAAGGCAAGAACAACCTGTTCAAGTTTCTTCACAAGGAGGGACAGAAGTTTAAATCAATGTTATTATATCGTACAGTGTGTAAATACCTTCATCAATTATACGGTTTTTAGTGTGATAAATATAACTTTTCATGCATTAAAAATATCACACATTTTTTTTTTTAACCAAAAAAATACTCCGATATTTTGCAAGCAGAGGAAGATGTTTTTACAGCTTTTACGACAAAAAAAACATTGATATCACATGCTTTTCTATTTAACGAAGAAAAGAAACTGCTTAGCGAAGGACGTTGAAAAAAGCCGCCTAACTTGTCGCAAACCATATTGCTGTTGTCGAAGTTTCAAGGTGACCTTCCACTTTGTCTAAGCAGCGTCAACTTGGCAGGCAACAGAATACAGGCCATGAAAAACGAGTAACCACACTTGAAGCTGACCAACAATGTTGCACAAGTTGAGGTTTCTTGCTTGCATCTCGTATTTCCGCCTTTTTCCTAAAACAATGACATTGCGCGAACAGAATACACTTTTGGTAAAAGGTTTTATAAAAGTACTTTCATGTCATACATGATTCTAACCTTAGTTTGATTCAAACTTGGCTGTTTGCGTGAAATCTAAATTTGAAAGTATGTAATTAAATAATAATAATGGACAGACTGCTTTTTGTAAACATCCTTGGGAATACACWAWATTTGCACGCTAGTCCCAGTCCCCTCTGTGTACCRCACACCATCTTTGCTGAAGACAATGTGCTTTTATGAGTCTTTCAGCTTTGTTATCTGCACATTGTGATGATATTTCGACGTGGACGACAG